TGAAATTAGCTCCCGTTAAATTAACTGGCATAAAACTCTCCTCCTGAAAAACAAGACTTTAAACTATTTCATGTACAAGCCTGTAACCTTCTACCCAAACATCCCAGAAATCTTCCACTCGGGTCTTATAAATATATTAATTTGGTATATTTTCCTGAGCTTTGAACTCTGAAAAAGGTGGCCTCTTAGCTCAGTGACAGAAGAGCTGTCCCATATAATAACAATCCCGGGATAATTTCCTGGCAGATCTGGCATTGAGAAGCACCTTGAAGGCTGAAGAACTGGAGTGAATCCAGGTAGAATAAACTTGGCCAAAAGAGCAATTGGCCCAAATAGAAGATATTTGCTTATGCTGTAGATTGAGGATGTTCCTTCTTTCTCTGATGCTGGCCTTGCTCAGCAATTTAGTTTCTATCCTCAGTTCCCATTACTGTTTAACCTATTTGTGCCAGAAGGTGCATATGTTTTCCCAGTTTCTACTTCTGAATCATTACAAGCAAGCTGATTATTTTATCTCAACTGAACCACAGAAATTATGCTTTGGAGGCTAACTTCTTCAGGGTCCAAGGATTCTAATGATACAGTTTTAGCCCTTTGCTCTAGAGGTTAGGACACAAAATATGCCAAATATCCCATAACCCATTCCCGTAAATAGCCTATAGAGAATGCCAGAGAATCAAGAGACAGAAAAACAAACAGTAACCTCATTTAAACTGCTTTGTAGGCAAGCTCAGTGCAAATGAAGCTGTACTTCATCAGCGTCTGTGCTCATTCTTCTAGATTAGCGATATACTACTAGCACGTGTAGAATTGCATGCACGGGCTAATAACTTTCATATTTAATAATGACCAGGCCAATTTTGTAGTTTATAGTAATTCCAAGAAATATTGCTGGCACTGTTCCTGAGGTATAAAGTTGCTTTACAGTCCTGGAGGATGAGCCCCTTTACAAAGTCATCAGAAAATGTTCACCAAAGTTGTTGATCATTCTGGACAAAAACAAGTATGCTAGGAAATCATGCTTTGGAGCTAAAAAGTTAACAAAGCAGCTTAAAACAAAACATTGACACCAAGCACGAGGAAAGACACACTGTGAAGTTTTAGAATAGAATGTGCTATAGTCGAATTGTGGCCCCATTATCAAGGCTAAAGGTACATAGTGTAATGGCAATGTAACAGAATTTCAAACTGTATTATAAATAAAAAATAATGAGGACCACCTGATGGTTGAAGAACAGGATGTTAATCTATCCATCACAAATATACAAATATACATATAGATACATACTTTCATTGGCATCGTTGTCATTGGGAAGAAATTCATCTGACTGTTAACAGAAAACATGGGTGGGATATTTGTGACCATTCATTTCCAATATCATTTCTCACAATCTGTGTTGATGGAGCTACCTTCAACAAACTTTGAAAGGCTACTAGTTTCCAAATCCTGGCTTATTACCCTTCCTGATGAATCCTCATCAGACTAATAGGAGGAAGAAAGGCTGATTGACTGACCCATGGAGAGAAGGGGCCTTTCTCCTGATATCTCAGAATTAGCCAGGAATGTGTATCCCAGCACCAGTTTTGAAGAAACCCACAACTCCTAGTCTCTAAGAATGGAAGTACTATTGAGTCTTCAAGCTTGGGCTAAGCTTGTATAGAATCTTCTGTTATTTATGCATGGACAGCTTTGGGCAAAAGGCAGTCAAATGTTGGATAGAATGCTGGCTATAACTTTTCCTTGTCTTTAAAAAGGAAGGTGTATGCAGTATGTGCCCAAACTTTCTTACTTGGACTTTAGGAGCTCAGATTATTGCTTGAGTATTCCTACCCAAGTAGGTTGTTCTAACTGTATGGTACTGCCTGTATTTCTGAGGCATGGACTTGATGTTGGCTTCTTCCTTGATGCTTTCCTGCCATTTTGAGCACCTCTTGTAGCCCTACTCTTGTGTTGTGAGTTCCTTGATTAGAACTCCACAGTATAAAGAGCCACTCTTGTAGGACAGATACACTAACACAACATCCAAGAACAGAACTACTGAACCTAATGAAGATTGCTATGGTTATGGTTGGCTTGAAACATGAGCACCTCATAGAAACTAAAGGATGACATAGCTGGATACTCACATGACAGACTAATTTCTAGCAGTAATTACCCTGGCGTCACTAGAAAGGTGTTAGGGCCAAGGAGACCCAGAGTATAAGTCTAGCAATAAATACATAAATGAAATTACATAAATTCAGCTTGTCTATGGAATAAACATAATTGAGTTGACAGAATCCAAAACTGATTTAACAGTACTCTACATATAATTGACTAAACATATTGACTAAAGAATTAAAAAGGCTCTGCAATTTAAAAGAAGTAGATCTCATTTTAGGACATAGAAATATAATCTTAATTAAAAATAAATAAATCTTTAACTTTTACAATTGCATCCCATCTCCCCCCCCCCAGGAAACTCCAGATTGGACACAAAGGATCTCCCTTTATTTTATCTTTGATAAATGACTCTTTGATGGTAGAGGGAGAGGTAATGCCTGGCCCAAAATCATCCAGTGAGATTGACGATTAAGGAACTGCTTGAATCTGGGGTTTTCTGATCTGAGTTTATGACTTTAACCATCATATCACGTGCTTTGGAGCACTAGGTCAAAATTCAGAACATGTGGTTTTAGAGTTAAATTTACTCTTAAATACTCAATGTGATTTAGTGAATTCAGAAGCACTATGTCTGCAAAGAAACTAGAGACGTTAGTAGAGGAGAAGCTAAATATGAATCAGTGATGATGTTTGGAATACCAAATAAATAAACATGGTAATGCAATTTTCATTTCCATTCTAGAAATACAGCGCATTCTTTAGATTAGGAAAATGAGTGCTCCAATTTTGTTCTGCTTTAATCCTGGTTGCACTAGAATTTTTTTGTCCAATTTTAGGCCATACACTTGAAAAGGATTATTGACATACTGAAATATGTTTGACGAAAGGCTATAAAAATAATGTAAAGACCAAATTATATGAAAGTAGGGGAAGACCTTAGATGTAGAGGAAGAGGGGGAGGAGGGGGAGGAGGAGCCCAATTTTTAAAATTAAGGACAATCACATATTCTAATGTTTCTGATGGTAGGATTTGAATTAAATGTTTCAAATTACACATACACATTCTTCAATGAATGAAAGTACAAACTGGAATGGAACATATACTGCCTTAGAAAATTTTGGGGTTTTTTGCTATCTATAAAATGTTTAAAATTTAGAGGTAATTCTGTAATATCATAATTATACATGTAGTTTTACAGTTTTACAGCAACCTTACAAATCTCTGTATTGCATAAGACCTGATTGTCAATATATTTATGACATTATCCTTAGTACATTCTCATATTCCCTCTTTGCATGCATACGTACATTACAATTTGTTATATCATCCAGATCTTATTTATCTTTATAATGGAAGCAAATCCCATTGAGTTAAATAAGGATTTCAAACTAAATAATCAGGTTTGTAATCTTAATCTTCCCAGTTCTTCAGTTCTTTGCATTGGAGAAGAAGGAAACGCATTTCAAACTTTGAACTGACTTTTTAATTCTAAGAAAATAATGTAAATTGGGCTTAATGAAGAGAGAAAAGAAAGTTTTCACGGGTTATAATAGGCTACTAACTTGTATAATATTGCCTTTTCTCAAAAGCTAGGTATCAAATCACTGATCTCTGGTGACTGATCCTAGATTCTAAATATAATGTAAAGGAACAGAAATGTTTCCTTTTTAACAGATATTTGAAGTTGCTCGGCTTCAGTGGCTTAAGACTTGTGCAGTGCCTTGAATATGCAGAAGTAATGTTGAAAATGTGAATTCTGGCTTCTATTATTAACAGTGATTAATAGCCAAGCGTCTCAAATATAACATTTCAGTTTTGTTGTACACTGCCCAGAGCCACTTGCCTGTAAGATGTGGCTATATAAATTAAATAAATAAATACATAAATAAATAAAATAATTTGTTTCATTGTATGTGGTTTATACACAAACCAAGGAATTAATACCTCTCTCTCCTCTCTCTCTCTCTCTCTCTCTCTCTCTCTCTCTCTCTCTCTCTCTCTCTCTCTCTCTCTCTCTCTCTCTCTCTCTCTCTCCCTCCCTCCCTCCCTCTCTCCCTCCCTCTCTCTCTGCTAGAATGTAGCTCTCTTTCCTTTATCAGTACATTACATGATCTCAGAAACATGGAGCAAGGGAAACAAAGGCAGCTTGAGATGTTTAATCTATTTTGCAATCATCCACTATGTTTGCACAACAAAAGAAAAGTAAAACAGGGGTTGTTTCCTTTATTTGGATTGGGTGGCTCTCCACCTGAATTCTCTGAGAACAAGCAAAGTCTCTGATTTCAGAGTTAAATGGGGTTGAACACATACATACACACACGCGCGCACACACACACACAGACAGGCAAACATGCACATATATTTCTCTTATACCGCGGAAACAGTCTGAGCACAAAGGCTGCTTTAGATCTCCAGCAACTTCACCTGGCGGAGCAAAGACTACCTTTCTATCTCAAGGGGGGGGGGGGAAACCCCGGGTCCAAGTAAAAATTCAGCATTGCAAGCAATAACACAGAAAGAGCAGCTTTAACCGAAAGGATGTATGTTTGTGTTTGTGTGTGTGTGTGTGTGTGTGTGTGTGTGGAGGGGGGGAATCGATGAGAGGATGTGGGACTCATTTCTGTCCTGCTGCAGCACCTCAACTGGCTGCCTGGGAAGCGTTACGCTGTCCATGGTACTGAATTCCTAAACCAGCTTTGTAAAGTAAAGGCAACTCGGCCGAACTCTTGCACAGGAACCGCCCTCCTCCCGGCATCCTTGTTGAAGATCTTAAATATTTATCGCGGGTCCGGGAGCGCGGCTCCTCTCCACTTCCCCGCGCACATTCACAGAGGCAAGACCCCCCCCCCAGGTCTCTCTCCCTCTTCCCGCTCCGATCCTCCGCCACCCCTTTACCTGACTCTTTCGAGGGAACTCATTGAGTACGATGCTGATCACTGGAATGTGCAAAGCGGTGGCGACGAAGTCCATCTGTAAGATCTCGCTTCTGCTCTGCGGGAAGGCAAGAATGGCCGAGACCCCTTGTACCACCACCGTGTGGCAGATGCTCTGCAAGAAGGAGACCGGGTCGTTGCTCCAGGAGGAGGCGCTGGGCGAAGAAAAGGGGAAAAGAGGTAGATCGCCCAGGCCCGCCTCGATAGCCATCACCACTTCCAGAGAAAGGTTGTAGGGCAGAAGCCCCTTGACGCGGTTGAGGTTCTCCACCGCCAACAGGAGCGCCTCCCTCGGTATTAGAGGCGCTTGTGGCGCCTGGTCCGGACTCTCTTTGTCGATCAGGTTCTCGGTGCCCAGGTGCGCTCTCCTTCTCACACTGGTCCCAGTTTTCCACCTCTCTGGAGTCCCGGACTCCTGCCATCCAGATTCTTCCCCGGCAAAGTCGCTTCGAAGCGGGATGTCATTGTGAGCTCTCCAGCCTCCTGCCCCGCCTTGGGAGGTAGCCCAAGGTTGCAGGTGCGCCGCCCCGATCCTTACCGTGTGCCCGATCCGTTTCAGGATCCGGCAAGGCTGCGGGTGGCAAGAAGAGAGGGGCACCCCGGCCAACACGAGGGCGCAGGGCGGCGGGAACAGCAGACAGACTCTGCTCAGGAGCCACCAAACACTCAGTCTCCACATCACTGGAGAGCCAAATGCCCGGCACGTTAGGAGAAACCCCCTTCTCCCTCTCTGCCTTCCCACCTCAGCCACCTCCCCCTCCACCGATGCTAGGCGCTTCTCTCCCAGCCGCTCTCCCACCGCCAGCCATACAAGTTGCGGGGTTATTCAGGCGCCTCGGAGGCTCCCAAAACCTACACAACCGGTTTCCTCCCACGGGAATCCCTGCTCCAGGAAGTCCCCCAGACTTCTCCCAGTGGTCGCCTCCCCAGATTGGGCTCTAGGGATTAAGAGCCATTCCATTCTACCCCTGGAGGGTCGTCGCAACCCTTCGGGGCAATCTGCTGGATCTCCATGGCTCGAATCCACCAGAAGAACCGACTGGGAGATCCAGATTTCCAGACGCCTCTGAGGACAGCAAGAGGCAGGAACCCAACCTCCAGAGATGCCTCATCTCCCTTGGGCCACTTCCCCTTTCTTCTCGCCGCTTCTTCTCCCCCCCCCCCCACTCCGTCCTTCGCCTCTTTTCCAGTCCTCTGTCTTCCCTTTGCAGTTTGTTTCCAAAGCTCTCGTCAAAGGGAAACCCAAAGTTGCTAAGCAGGAGGGTAAGCAAGTAGCGGGAACGGTTCTTCCTCGTCCGAAGGAGCTCCAGTCGGTCGCTTGGCTAGCTAAACACCCACTGCCTGCCTGCCAAGGCGGCTTTGGAAAGGCGAACAGGTAGCGCTCTGAGCGGGACAAACGCCCCGCGAGGAACGCTGGGAGTTGTAGTCATTCTAGCCGGACTGTTGGAAGCCTCCCTGGCGCCGGGGCTTTCTCCAAATGTTTTGCTGAAATTCATGTTTAGTGTGTTAGTGGAGCCATGTTTTAAGAGGTCTTCCCCCACTGGGAACTGTCTAGTATCTGAAGGGGAAAGAGGACGGAGTTAAGAAATTCTACTCTCAAATTCTCCTCCTCCCCTTTTTTAAGGATGGAGCAAAAATACATCCCCGAACATTTTATGTATTGCTCCAAACATATATCCTCCAACAAGGCATGCCCCTTTCCCCCTGATTCATTTTCTTTTCACAACCGCATGATGAGAAGAAGACATTCAACAAGACCAGTCAAAGTGATCCATCTGCTCGTTTGCTTTTTAAGCGCTTCATCAAGGCATGGGGAAGGGAAGGATGATGGAGGCAGAAGTGGGGAGGGTCAACTCCAACAACTGGGAGAAGAACATGACCCTCTCTGAAGCACCTGCCGATTCATCAGCGCAGGAGGTGTCTATCTCCTTCAGGCTCCATGAGGTCAGGTAAATCTCCATTAGTAGGGCAGAGTAGCAAGAACCTTCCCAATATTTGACATTCTCCCACCAACTGCAGTATCAAAGAAAACCATGATGCTGAAGGTAGGACACCGTTCATAATTCCCATCTGAGGCTTTGTAAGTCTGACTGAGCTATCCCTTTGAAACAATGGAGTCCACGGAAACTAGTCAAACAAAAGGGAATTCTCCATTGACATGGAACTGAAGGGTTATTGTGGCAGAATCACAGATATGGAGCCATCTATATCCAATCTGCTATTCCTTTCTTGTTGGAACACTGAGCCAAAAGTGTTCTGTACTGCAGGAAGATGTTAATATTCACCTCCTGTAAGTTAACAACAACACAGCAAACAGAAGGAACCTGAACAAGAAGGCAAAGTATTTCACAGAGTAATGTTTGCTAGGAAAATTTGGGAGTGAGTCATGTCTCTGTAGCAAAGAGTTTGGAAAACAATCAAAAAGTGTACTTTTGAACCTCTATTTCCTTATTCCATAAATTATTCATTGGCATAGAAAGAAAAATTAATGTCAGGCTCACATTTGTTATGTTCTCTACTTTTTAAATGCTTCCATATGTTGAGGGATGAAGAAAAAGGCCATAAAATGAATAAATTATAGAGTTTTAGACAAGGACTAAGGAAGCTCATGTTGACATTCCAACTAAACTATATCGTTCATTGATTATCTTGCCTCGACTCTCTTTCCCTATCCTACTTGCATAGTTTTTTCATGAGGAAAATAATGGAAGGATAGCCAACTAGCTGCTGGAGTTAAGGTAAATATAAATACCAACAGATCCAATACATAGAACTGATCTCTCTTAGTCCCAGGTATCTTGAATAACTATTTCCTTAATTGGCAATAATTTATTTTTTTACAGGTGTGTGTGTGGGTGTGTGTTTACTGGATTTAAGCACTGACTATCCCAAACCTGAAATCTGAAGGCCCATTTAACCACGATTTTGTTCAATTCTAGGCATAGATCTGGTCTCTTGCCCTAAGGCAGGGGCTCCCAACCAGAGGTGCTCGCACCCCCTGGGGGTGTGAGATGATATTCCCGTGTGTGTGTGTGCAAAAACTTGGGTTTTCAAAATTATAGCATATATGCATAATTCGTTGCCGTTATTTCAAACTTTTGTAAGAGGTGCGAGAATATATCAGAAGCGTTATAGGGGTGCAGGGTATAGAAAAGATTGGGAGCTGTTGCCCTAAGGTATCAGCTTTTGAACCATTTCTTTACCAGCTTTACCATTTTTGTATGATAATAGCAGGGGATAATGTTTAATTTGTTGGTTTTCTTTTGCTCCAACTGTAATAAAAGAAGGCACAAAAGGATTACAGTCATCTTAGTTTCTTTTTGCCAGATTAAATGGACTTCCTCTGTCTTCCTCAGTGTACACTTGTCATTTGCTCTACAAATAAAGATTATTTGTAGGTTTTAAAACAGCTATGTGCTGCAGGGTAATATAAACCCCACAGATGCAGAAGAAATTGAAAAGAAACCAAGGAAGGAGCATACATTTTCAAGTTAGACATGCTTCTATAGATAGATGGATCTGGTTTTAATACTTGGTACATTTAGCCATAGTCATGTGTTAAATTAACATATGTCTTTCCTAAGATGAGGCCAATTTGGAATTCTGGTGGATTTTCACTCATAATTGAAGCATCTATTAAAAATACTTCTAGACACAGCTATGGACATAACAGTTCCACATGGAGAAATGCCCTGTAGGACTAAAACATGCATAATTTAGCATACAAGATATACTTTTTTAAAAATTATGCAAATAAACCTGTTCCATCGGCTTAGCGAACAGCAAAAGAGAAAGAAGATTTTTTCATTACTTGTGCTGGAAGATCAGCAGCTGTTTGTTCTCCCAGTATTCATATTTCTGAGAAACAAGATTATTCTATTACTTTGGTTAAGATTCAACTGTTTCTAATCTTCTCTTAGCTGCCATCTAGCGGTGGCCATTTCTAACAAGGTGCAGAACGTAAGGACAACGGAGACACATGAAGCTCTTCCATGTTAATTATCCCTTGCTACATTATTACCCATTTTGCTGTTTGATCTTTTCTCATTCCAGTTGGTCCCAAAGCTCCCCCCCCTTTATGGCTTCTCTAGCCCCTTTTCCTTATGTGTTCTCCTTTTTTTAAGTTCTAAGAAAAAAGTGTAGAGACTTTGAAATTATTTATTGATAGTTAGCACCTGGACCACACGTTAGATAGAAACACCTGTTATCTGTTTGCAGTCTTCCCTATTATCCTGGAACCAAGAGGAAAGGTAATGAATTTGGTTCTTCTCTGGTGATACTAGCCTTTAAGGGGAGAAATTGCAAATAGCTGTAAAATTAGGGTAGCTTTATGCAACAAATTGATTTATCCTAATTGTTCTAATATTTATAATCCACTCATTAAAAAGCTACAAAAATGGCTTAAAGTACAATTAAACAATATTGATAGATTATGTGCCATCAAGCTGGTATTGATTCTTAGCAACCCCATAGATTTTTTTCCCCAGCATATCAATCTCTAGTCTTCTCTTTTAGATCATCCAATGGTGTTCCAATCACTGCTATAATGTAGTCAGTTCACCATGATGCTGGTTGTCCTCTACTTCTCTTTCCTTCACCTTTTGTATCATTAGAGCAGGGGTCTTCAAACTTGGCCCTTTTATGACTTGTGGACTTCAACTCCCAGAATTCCTCAGCCAGGCACACTGGCTAAGGAATTCTGGGAGTTGAAGTCCACAAGTCATAAAAGGGCCAAGTTTGAAGACCCCCTGCATTAGAGCCTTCTCCAGAGAGCTGGCTTTTCACATAATGTGTGTGAAATAGGATAATTTAAACCTGGTCATTTGGGCCTCTGGTGAGAATTCTGGGACATCCGATCCATTTGTTTGTTTTCTTGGCTGTCCGTGATATTCGTAGGAGTATTTTCTAATGCCAGGTTTCAAAAGCATCATCGCTCTTGCTATCCTGCTTCTTCACAGTCCAACTATCTCTTCCAATGAGTGTTATAGGGAATACCATTGCTGGCCTGATTATGATGGATTGGGCCAACTCACTACGGCCAACTCCTTTGGCATCCTTTGTTATGATTCTATTCCACTATTTCTTCGATATTAGCATAACTCTTGCCCCCCGGCGAGTTGTCCTGTGGCAAATTGGCCGGGGTGAGTTGGCCATGATAAGTTGTTGTAGACCCTGATCCTGATCTAATTAAACAATATTCATATGTTTAAAAAGCGATTGCTTTGTGCACAGCATTGAGACAGGAGCTAGTAGACGGGAAATAGCTGCAGAAGAATTGGTATTGCCTTCACATCCAAGTTACCGCTTCTCAAGGATGGTTAGATGAAACTTTAACAGGATTCTTCTTTAGATACTAACAGCTGAACAAATAAAAAAAAAGTCACAGAGATAAGTCTATATAAAATTTAACGTGGCAATTATTTAACTTTGAGCACAACACAGATCTTTTTGTGTTCCCTTTTGTAAGTCAAACAATCGGGTGCTGATTCAAAAGCAGTAAAGGGGAATAGCTTCTCTTGATAGGCTATTGAAGAGATGGTTTTTCAAAATGTGTTCAGCAGAATCCTAGGGCTCCACAGGAACTTGATGAGATTCCATGAAAGGCCAAGGGAGAAAAAGAAGGAAACTGGGAAACCAACCACAGATAGAGTTTATTATCCCCAATAAAACATTCAAGTC